TATAAGTCAACTTCATACAAAATTTGAACCCCCCCCCCCCCAATTTTTTGGGCACAAATTTTAATCTTTCCAGGAAAATTTACCTATGTATAATGTACAACTGAAAATGCATGATTTTTAACCTTTTCAAAAAATTACCTGTGTATAGTGCAACATTTTTTTTTTTTTTTTTTTGTGTAAAAACTGATCATAAAAACTCGCATTATACTTGAGTATATTTGATATTTGAAATATTAATTCTTTCTCATTTCCTTTTTATATTTTCTGTTTGAATACCTGGAACAAGGAGTTATCATTATTTACGTTTCAATTAATCATTGTTATCACAATGTTTCGACTGTTGTCCCCTCTGGACTTCTTCAGTTTCCTGTTGCTCCACTTTAATTCACTAAGATAATGGATTATAGTGTTGATTTGTAAATTTATAACATAATTGTGAGTTCAATCTCTGGGCCAGGTTGTACTAACTCAGACTCTGTGGAAACAGGGTGAGAAATAATTAAGCGTTACTAGAAAAAAAAAATAGCGATATCTCTAGATATGGCCAATGAAATGGGAATAATCTATCCCTGTAGATTAAATAAAGGATTAAGTTTAAAATTCTCTGAAGTTTAAGTAGATTGACAGATATCTGAAGAAGGTTCGAAGAGGCCAAGGCCAAAACATCTGATGAGGATGTTAGTCTGACTGTAAATAATATAAATAGTTCCTTTTTCTAATTCTGTATTTCTGCTGTTATCAAGAAAGACAAATCTAAAATCTTATCAGCATGTTTTTATAATTACAATTTCTAATTTATTACTGTAAAATAACTCTTCTGAAAGTCACAGATGTTTGACGCAAGAACAATTCTTGAATGTTTAAAATTCTCTCTGAATTTGTAAACATAACGCACCTTTAATCAATGATACTGTATATGATTATCACTTGTTTCTTCAAAGCTGTTTAGCACAGGTAAATTTTATTGCAGTGCATTAATTTTTAAAGTATATATATATATATATAGTAAATATATGTGGTGGGATGGTGTGTATGTGCGTATGTGTGTGTATGTGTGTATAAGTACAAATAAGTTTACGAATTCCTCGTAGTAGGGAAATATACGCACGCATATATACACGCATGCTGACAGGAACACGCCAAAGTAGAAACAGATCCAAGAGCACATAGAGGTCACTAAAACATTAAAAGATTAAATGCCGATAACTACTCGCTGGACAAACCTTAATTGTTTTATGACCCTTCACGCAGAACTCTTCATTGACAATTCTAGAAAGAAAATTGGATTGCCAACACACAAAACAGAATGTCTCATATCGAGAATATTCCACATTGAACATGAAGAAAAATTAATTATTTTTAATAATATGTAAAAATCTCCACTTTCACCTGAAGACGGTTATAGACCAGACCAGAAACACGTGTCGTGAAATTATGTAAAACAAAGTATAATATTTTTCTCAATAAATCCACATTACAACCAAAAAACGTTTATGCACCCCCTCTTCTTTTTTTTAATATATATATAGTTATAGGATATTACATTCGAACATACGTAAAACCACTACATAAATGCATATCATTGCATCTCATCAGGTGATAGTAAAAAAAAAAAAATTGTGTGTGTATCTATATATATATATATATATATATAATGTTTGTCTGATTATTGCAAAAGCATGAAAACCTGGGTCACACTCATATCCATACAAATGAACACGTTAGCTCTATCACTGATACTGAGTACTTTCCAGTAATTACCACACATATATATAATGTATATAGGAAATATATTGTCATTCACAGACAAACTGTTTTGCTGTATCACAGCTCATCAGTGTGGCTAGATATCTGATTGCCTCAAAAGCCAACTGATTTGGCATCAGTCGAAGATTTTACCCCTGACCTATCAGTTGCCTGGTTGAGAGGAAGGCTAATTTTTACATACTTATTCTTTGAATAAACATGTCAATGACCGAGAGGGCTCAATTTGCAGTATTAACAATAGCAGTCATTGTTTACAAATTCATGCTTTCTCCCAAGAGTGCTCAATGAGAATTAAATTTTCTGGGGGTGTATATATTGTCATTCACAGAGACTGTTTTGCTGTATCACAACCCATCAGTATGGCTAGTCATCCGATTTCCTCAAGCCAGGATCGAAACCCTACTGATATGGCATCTATTTTCTATTTCTCTAAATACACCCAGTACATGCTGTCTGTGTTCATAATTAGCAACTTATATACTGTTTACAATACCACAAACAAAAAATCTTTGAAAATGGCTATTAGATTAGCCAAGAATGCTAAAATATCAATTCAAATACCCCACATAGTATGAAGCCTGTCGGTCTGTGTGAGGACCACCCTTCTTTGAACCTCAAATAACAGAAATCACACCACATGTGGACTTTCAACAATACCAACAACTTAAATGGATATCACATATAACTTGAAAAGAAAATAAAGACATAATCAAGATGTTTCATACTATTTTGAACAAAAGGTTAGGAAGGAAACCTCTATCAATACTGGAAAGAACAATAATTGGTTAGTGAACTTAAGAAGTGTATTTTCTTTCACCAAATTTTCTCAATAGAAAAATTTAGAAATTTTAATTGATAGTAGCACTGGCTTGTTGGTTAGTAAATGCTGAATATTTCCTTATAAGAAAATGGTTAATGTTATTGTAGAGAACTGTTTTGCCAACAAAGACAAATTAGATCAATAATTATGTTGGACATACTTCCATTTGCTTATTAAGATGGCTGACCTTACATTTCACAGACTAGAGCTCCATATGTACATATTTAAAACAGCATGAAAATGTACCCACCTTGATACATAAAATACTTGGCTTGCTTCGCCAATTCCTTGGAGATTCATCTCCAGCTGTGCTGGTCGAACTTTCTGTCTTTGGGCAGAGAGGAACCCAGACGAGGCTATACCAAAGGGCAGAGTCTTGTCTGTGCGGGTAGACAGCTACTTGACCCCATGTATACAGGGTCTACGGGGAATTTTTGACTGAGCCTATGGGCTTGGTTTTGCCCTGCATTAAAAAACGGTCTTGTGCCACATTGTGGGGAGGTAAGGTAAATAACATTGTCAAGAACACAACAGTGATATGCACCTCTCATTACAAAATGTGTCTAAAAATAATTGAAGCCCTTATAAAAAAAAAAAAACAGAAACCAACCCATAACAACATGACACAGCCATAATATACTGGCCATATTTGGGAATTAAAAATGTTTACAAATTTATACAGTATTTACAGATTTTTTTTAAACATTATTTTTAGTGGATACCTGTATTTGAGTAGATGCTCTGTTTATTTATTAAACAGTATATTTATTTATTTTTATCTACCAGCCTGAATGCTTGAGAAATCTTATTAAAGAAAAGTTTGTGCTCTCTGGCAGTACTCAAACCTGTGTTCTTCAGAGCAGAGGAAGCTACCATGCTATGCTTTACTGACTTAGCCACAAAGAAAAGTTGGTCAGGCGAGGCCAAATTTTGTGCTTTCAAGCAAAATTTCTCCCATCATAGCTCTCTCAGTTTTTCATATCTTCACAGTTTTGTATCCAAATGTAAACAAAGTGAATATTTTTTAGAATGGATCTTTATTAACCCAACAAATGTTTATCACTTTAAATCAACATTTCTCAACTGGGGTTCTTCAGAACCCTAAGGTTCTGCGAGAACAAGTGAGATAAGCTAATGCACTTTTGATTTTTTTTTTTTTTTCTTAATTTAATTTCCTATACATAATATTACTAAACACATACACAATATATTCTTGGTTATTGTAATATAGACATCATCCTATCTAACCTATTATGTTATTAAAATATATAACAATCATTGGGAATATATTTAGTGATGTCTGTACAGTGCCAGTGTGAAACCACCTTCACTAGTCAGTGCCCACTCAGCGAATGGGACCTGTATTTAAAGTTACTTATTTCTCCCAGTACACCTTTTTTGTGTGAATGAAAACTCCCTGATAAAGTATTATAAACAAACAGTATGAATTTTATTTAGCATTACCAAAAAATTTGACAAAGTATTATTAATTTTTCCTTAAACCAGTTATTCAAAAATATATACTATGATATTTACCATGTGAACTACAATGAAAATAAAATGAGAAAGATATGGTATATAATTTTGTTTTTGTGCAGAGGGTTCCTTAAGACATGTAATTTATTTTAAAGGTTACTACGCAAGGGTAAAAAACGTTGAGAACACTGCTTTACACATTATGAAAAATGTTTAAATTGATAAAAATCTGTTGCATTAATAAAAAACCTATTCTAAAATTCTGTTTACAGTTGCACTTACTATATATAAGGTTCAGCTGCTTTCTTTTCTAAATAACAAATGCAGGAGACTTGTTGATGTGTAAATGTCTTATTTTTTTTTTATAAGTTGCCTTCCAAAAGTTAAGCAGAGTATTAAGAGACAGGAAAATTTTGTTGGAAACAAAGAAAAGAGTACTGAACTGTTATGTTTGACAGGAACAGGAAACCATTGTACTATCCACTCCCAAAGAACAGTCAAGGCAATAGACAATTCACAAATTAAAGAAAAAAAGGTATCTGTGGAGAGCCATGATCACCTACATCTTGAAAGGACATTGTATTTAAAAATGATGTAATTTAAGTAATAATGAATAATAAAGAAAAATCAATATAGTGAATAAATTATTTTTATTTTTTGTTATAACTGAAATTTAAAAGTAAATATAAAAAATTCTGCGCACATCCCTTTTTCAGTAGCTTACAGGCTTGTTGGTCCCATGCAGGCAAAGAAAAAATTGAATATCATTAGTATTTTTTTTTTATTTGTACATTGAATTTTTCAAATATCTTTTCTTTCCTTTTTTTTTTTTTTTTAAATCCCCTTTACTCAATTTAAAACCTGGAAAAAAAATCTCATTAATTTTCCCTAGATCAGAAAAGATTTTAAATTCTGTTTAAGCGAATTGTCATTTAAAATGCCTGTATTTAACAAGAGAAACAGGCTCTTAAATGTAATTTTTCTTTTCTCTTCTACCACCTCTCTCTCTCCTCATCTCTCCATCTTCCTTTCTCCTCCTTTCTCTCTCTATCTCCCTTTATTTCCCTCTCTATATCTCTTTTTCACCTTCTTATTCCAATGTCTTCCAGTTGCTGGTTTAGAGCAGCAGAGAGAATATTCATTGATTTGTAGAATCCTATATTCTATTGAATGTCAATTCTAATTAAATGATTGAAGTTCTCATCAAATGAAGATGGATGAAATTGAATCTGTTTTTTTGTTTTTTTTAATAAGCTTAGTTGTGGTCGACTCTGATGTTGTTAAGTGATAGAAGCCATATAAGAAAAACATTAAAAAAAAATTTGTAGCTGTTTGTTGAAAAAAAAATTTATGCTTTCAGATTTTAGGTAGTAACTCTTTGTTTCATTGGAAAAGATTTTCATTCAGTTTTTACTTTTGTGGCTTCACCAAAATGGCGACTGTGGTTAAATATGGTGGGAAAACATCAAACAGGGCCAGATTATCATTTGGACTAGTATAGGCCGTAGCCCAAGGCCTGTCAGGCTTTTATAAAGCAGTGATTTAAATTTTCTAGTTGTTATATCTTCTATAAACTGAAATGATATCAATATGACAAGCTCTTATTTATTTGACTTTTCAGGAAGCAAAACCAGGAAAAGAATGTTCAGAATGTTTAAATTTTTATAAAGCAATGATTTTAATTTTCTAGATATTTATAACTTCTAAATAGTTTTATAAATTGAAATGATATCAATGTAACAAACTCATATTTATTTTGATTGTTTTATCGTTATAATGCTGGTTATAAAAAATCTTTTTTTTGGTGGGGGGGGGTTATGTTTGTGTTAAAATATGTGCTAATTTGGTTTGCAATAAATAATAAAACACTGGTATTACTCAAAGAATGTTTTTATTGATAAACAAAAGATAATTTATTTAAAGAATTTGCAATATGTTGCATAAATGTCATGAAAATATATCACAAATAAAAAAAACAAAAAAACAAAAAAAAAATCATGTTCAGTACAGGTGTGGGTGAGTTGGAGGATGCGTCTGTCTGAAGAGAGCCTCATAATTTCATAAGCTTATAACCCCCAAAAAAGTCATAATCCATCCCTGGCAACAAAGATTCTTTTTTTTCTTTCTTTTTTTTTTTTTTTTTTTTTTTTTTTTTAATACAACAAATAATGTCTAATTATATAAATAAGTCATACTTTTAGCCAGGAATAGTAAAAAATTGTTGCAGTATATCAAAAATAAGTATACAAATGAAAATTCTTTGATTAGGGGGAGGTGAATAAAGGACATATAGCCTAGCAGACAAAAGTGTTATTTAAGCAGATCTAGTTACATGACTGTCAAGTGTTCAATCCCTAGCTGGGGTAGCGTGAATTATCATATATTTCATTTGGTTGTTTTTGTTTAGTGGCCTATCAACACCTTTTTATGGGTTATTTAATACCAAAATCTAAATACGAAAATTCAAACTTTATAATTAATTCAAGAGAATGACATTATTTCATAATTAAATTATAATTACTGAGCTGCAATCTAACAAAAACAAACAAGGAGTGAAAACTTGTTTCTCCTTACAGTTATAATAATAATGTTGATCGTCAGCATCAGTCCCTCGACTGCATCAGTCGTCAGTGGGACCTGAGGGCAGAAGAAACAGACTTTGATTCTTCTTCTTCATGTTCCTTTGAGTGGACTTTCAGATAGCTTGGTGGCACCCATCTCCTCTCCAAGTTCTTGACAAACAGCTGAATACCATGTATAGTGTGAGTCACTCTTGGTTAATCCACAAGGCCCTCAGGTTTTGAATTCAGAGTTATCTTCTAGACTGGTTGCCAGCCAATGCTATTGGTCCCAGTCTCTTACTCTTTACCCATAGCTGGGGGAGAAAATAGATGGATTCATAACTTTCCCAAGAATATTAGTCTACTACTTCGTCCCCAGCCCCTCAACCTCCGGCGACTTCCTCTTTGGGTTGAGGTGTCCACTTGGTCTGAACCGAACTTAGGAGTAAACTGGCCATACGCTCCCTGAGTACCCATAGATTATTTCGACCGGTCAACTGGTCAAGTCCTGCTCGCTGCCCATGTTGTGTTAGCTTTTAGATCCAGTAAGCGGGGTGTTGTCCATACGTTCACGGTCGACTGGGAATGTGGACACGGCTGTGAAAGTTGGCGCTAGGAAGTTTAGAATGTGGCACAATAAAACAAGAAATAATATCTGCAATAGTCAGACAACAATGGGGGAAATATTGACGTCTTCTATATAAAAAGATAACATCAGAACAGAGGTTACAGGAAGAATAAAAACATTTAACATAAATGAGAAAAGAAAAAGACAAAATGCATCCAGCGAATTCCCAACAGAGAGGGATTATGTGTGATAAACACGTATTGAATCGCCTGGGGTAGGTTCATGATCAATAGTCCAGTCTCATACAGACTTCTCAGAACAGGGGTTAGTCTACTCTCTCTCTCTCCTCCAAAATTCTCTTGCAAAATCTCTCGACTTACTGTGACGATAGTCTCATCACTCTCTTGACTACAGTCTCTTTCCCCGACTCTCTTTATGAGCAAAATCTCGAGTTAATATAGAAAAAGGATCAGCTGATCACAACTGACCCTCGGCCTGACACGCAGCTACCACAAGTGCCAAAAACTATCCCTTGACATGTAAACCTATTCTCCAATTATTTACCTTATCTCAATCACGAGTTCTTCTCGCTTCACCAAAATTATACTTTGGGATATCTAAACATTGATTCAACCTTTTGACCAAAACAAATACTGTTAAACAAAACCAAGTATCTCGCCCATCCCCATTGTTTACTAGTGACCCAGGTTTAAAACATCGCCTCCTGCCATGAGATCATGTTTCTCATCGGTAAACACACATCTTAACCCAAATTGTACTTTGATATATAAACACTATTTCCACTTCCAGTCAATAAAAGTTATATTTGCATGTGTGCATTCATGTGGTTGTGTATGTGTATACCTCTTTCTGTTACATTAGCACATAAGTGAATATAATGAACGCAACTGAAATTTGAACTTGGCCCTCTGATTCCTCAATCGGAGCTGCTATCCATTACTCCACCAGATGTCCACAGTGGAGTAATAGATAGTATAATAATATTAAATTTTAAATGGTCATGTGTAGAAGCAAGCAAGCCAGAGTGACTTGCATCTGGTGTATAGGAAAATAAGGGTTTTACCTTGACGTGTGGCACATGGCATTGGCAAGTTTGCCCTGTGAAAATGGCGTTACTCTCCAGTCTAGCAATTCCAGCATTATATGCGGTAACAAGGGTTTTTATACAGTTTGGCATGCTTTGGCCAGTAGCAAGTCGTGTGCTGATTGGTTGAACTGGAGGAGGCTATTTACCTGGTTAACTGAGAATAAAAGTGAAGAACGCTGATTGGTTGGTCGACCGTGGTGTTGGCTTGATAAAAGAGGGCTGAAGCAGTGAAAGGGGAGAAAAAGATGAATTTACGTTTAGAAGTGTTCAGAAAGCAAGAACGGCGGATTGAACCAGTGGTATCTTGATTTTTACAAGTGACATCGTAGTAATAGAGACTCATTTAGCCTACCGGTCATTATGTAAAACACTTCTGATCTTAAACCTCTATTGTCTTGCGGCCATATGCAACCATGAGAAAAGCTTCAGAAGTAAACCCTAAGAATAAATCAAGAGTCGAAGTTCCTAAGACAGTCCAATGTTATGTTCAACTTCGGTTCTGGCAATTCCTGTAATGACACCAGTGCCAAGTTGTATTGGCCATTGTCTTTCCCTTGGACAACATTAGTAGTGCAGAGAGACAAAATGTGCTGCATGGGTAACTGCTGATCTCTCATCAAACCCTCCCCAGGTTTGTGCCCTGGAGAGGACACTCCAGCATCACCTCATGCTGCACTGCTATCAGCAGCTGAGGAATAACTCTTTGGGCACAGATCCAAAGGTTCTTTCTTTAGACAGATGGATACCACACACATGTAAAATGCTTTAACTCCTGATTAATTTGTACAGCTTAGAGGTCAGTGGAGGTGACCATGAGGATCATTATTATTGTTGATTTTAACCACTTTTCAGATGACCTTGTTTTTTATGCTATCCAATGCACTAACACTTGAGCTTTGCCAGCATTTTTTTTTTTATCGATAACCAAATGTTATCTGAAACTTAATCATGTGGCATTAGCTTGTCTATTATTTTCAGGATCCAGCCAATTACAGGAAATCTATAAACTATTCACCATTCTTGGAATCTATAACATGTTTATTGATTTCCATTGAATTCTTGATAGAAAAAATTTCCTGTTGTGTATCGCAGGTTGAGCATGGAGTTCAGACTAGTGACATAACTAGAGTGTACACTGTCCAGAGGAGCATAGTGTGTAACATCATCCCCCCACCGCAGAAATATATAACATATTGTACAGTGACTCCCACCTCTCTCTCTCTCTCATATATATATATATATATATATATATATATATATATATATATATATATATATATATTTTTTGTGAATTGATTGGATGGTTTCTGAAATATTAGAAAAAAGTTATCTCGATAATAATTTGGCACATAGTGTACATTGAGCACTATTTTATTAGTACCAGCTCACAAAGTGCAATATTGTATGTGTGTGTGTATTTATATATATATATATATATATATATATGCAGACACTACATACATACAAGTTGATTTAAAAACAACTGACATGGTATTGTGGTTAAGTTTTTTTATTTAATTTTTCTCATCTTATAATTTCTTCTTTTCTGGACATAAATTATATAGAAATTACCTGAATCTTTTGTATGTCTGAGTGCGTTCAGCTATACTTTTAGCTATTCTCCCAGATGTTTTTACTTTTAACTTAATGTATGGATTAGAGTTTCTCTCTATATTTCTGAGATGAGGTATTATGCACATTATTTACATTATTTGGACTATTGTCCTCATCTTTGTTGCCATATTTATTACAATGTTTCGGCCATTTATTTTTATGCTCCGGCCTTCTTCAGGTGGTTGGAATATCGAACTGAACCTTTTATTTTTGCAAGATGGGGTAGACTGTTCTAGTTCCACATGCCATGTCTATTGGATGTCATATCTCCTGTTAATTTCCCTCTGAAAGTTCTCCTGCCTTAACCAGTTATTGAACCGACACTTTGTCCGTTACTGGATCTAACTAACACCTTTATCCACTGTGCCATGTGTTCTTGGGGATAAAGGTATTAGTTAGATCCAGTGATAGGACCCAAAGAGTGTGAGTTCAATACCTGGTTAAGGCAGTGAAGAACTTGGAGAGGGGAATTAACAGGAGATAACTGACAACTGACATCCATTAAAACATGGCACATAGAACTGGAACAGTCTACCCCAGTGAGCGAAATAAAGGGTTCAGTTCAACAGTCCAACCACCTGAAGAAGGCCAGAGCATACAACAACTGAAACGTTGTAATAAATGTGGCAACAAAAATGAGGACAATAGTCCAAATAATGTATATGGAGTTATTGGAATGTTTTAAAAAAGGGTCATCACATTGTGGCTCTGTTCATAGTTGATATCACTGAGTGTTGTCTTTTTCTTTTTTATTAATAATGCTTCCGTTATTTTTAGCCATTTTGCATGTGGATGGGCCTATTATATTTGTTATCAATGAGTATGTTGTAGATGGGGTTTAGTAGGTTTCCATGTCTATTTAAATGTGACTTAATTATACTATGGTCAGAGAGATGTCATGTGAGTATTCTGGTTAGGCATATTGTATCATATCCAATATAATTATTTATGAATTTGGTTTGATCTGGAACACAGTCCCTTAAAGGACATATGAATTCATGAATTGGTTCTCTGTAATTTTTATCTTGCATTTGAGTTATTGTTGTTGACGATTAGGTTAGCAGTTTTAAATTTTTTGTAGTAGATAATTAAGCAAGAAAATTATCTGCTATAAAAAATTTAGATATGGATGTCGTGCATGGCATTCTACTTAGAAATGTCTAAACTGTCAACTATATACCACCACTTTCTTGGATCAATGTTTTGCAGAGGACCATTGCTTCTGAAAATTTGTGGACTGGCACTACAGCATCATAAAGAACTGTCCCAAATAATATTAAGACTTTCAACAACAACAATAACAACTAAAAAAGCACATGTAATTTAACGAGAATGATATAATCAAGATGTTGACAACTGAGGGTATCACTGGCTGTTTAATCAATAAGTACCAAATGTTTCCATATAAGGAAATGCCTAATATTACCCTCACCATTTCCATCACACCATTAACCCAAGTTGTCCTGGGTATGATGATAAACTACATCTGCCTCTGATTGGGAGGTTTTGAGGAGCATGGAACCACCTCTTAATTGCTGTTGTTCCCAGGGCAACTCAGGGTCCCAGCTATGGGCAAATAGTTAACCGCCAAACTGGGGTCAAAACACTATGAAAGTATTAATAAATTCCTGGAAAAATATCGGCAATACATTTTCATAGTAATAAAAATTACCAGCAAAACATTTTTTGTAACAAAAAAAAAAAAAAAATTACCAGCAAAACATTTTTTGCAAAAAAAAAAAAAAAAATTACCAGCAAAACATTTTTTGCAACAAAAAAAAAAAAAAAAAATTAAAAAACAAAAAAAAAAAAAAAATAAAATTAAAGCATTTGCAACAAAAAAAAAAAATAAAATTGCAACAAAAAAAAAAAAAAAAAATTACCAGCAAAACATTTTTTGCAACAAAAAAAAAAAAAATAAAAATTACCAGCAAAACATTTTTTGCAACAAAAAAAAAAAAAAATAAAAATTACCAGCAAAACATTTTTTGCAACAAAAAAAAAAAAAAATAAAAATTACCAGCAAAACATTTTTTGCAACAAAAAAAAAAAATAAAAATTACCAGCTATACATTTTTTGTAAAAGAAATTACTAATGTTACCAAGAAAGTTAAATTTCAGCATTAAATGTCATATATGAAGTTGATATGCCATAAAACAAACCAAACCACATTTAACCAAGTTGTAACCTCTTCTATAGTATACACGAGTACTTCAACTGGTATAAAATATTTGCCCACCCACACTTGTTATTATTCAACATTAAACTATCAACAGGTTCAGCTGTGTATTAGAATAAATGTCTTGATTACTGTTTACTGGACTCACTGTCCAGTAAGTAGACAATACCTTGAATAAAACGGTCAACTAAATGGAATAAGCCTAATTAAAACAGTAATGCAATCTCATCACAATATTGTGACAAGTACACCTCAGGCAGTCGGATTACCATAAGTACATCTTAAACAATCGGATCACCATAATTGAATTATTGTTACTACTTTGTCTATCATTAATTGTAATTAGGTTAAATATAATTGCTTATTGATGGCAGGTCTAGGAAAATAATGGATGAGGTTATCTTTTTAAATTATTAGTATTAAATTATTAGGTTGTCTTTAAATTTATTCTTCATCACTGTATTTATCAGTATTTATCAGTATTATATGCAAATTTATCAATTCAATTGTTTCATTTGAGTTGTCGGCTTCTAGGACTGTGTTGCCAGTAAATGGTAATCAAGTTGAATAATTTGTTTGGCTTCAAATGAAGGTTTCTTCTCTTTCTCAATCCTGGTAATTCATTAAAAATATTTAAGTACTAGCCTAGAAGCTACCCTTCGGCAGACTTTAGGCTAGTTACTGTGGAGGGCTTTTGGCTTTTATCTTTAGTGTCCTATGTATGTAAAAGTAATAAGAATTTAGAAATAATAAAATTATTTTATCTTTATTCAACACCTTAATACGGCATAATCTTTCTTCATATACACAACCGATCTCCATAGTTTCTTTATATTTATTTTGTGTGCAATTTTTATTTTCTTTTAAAATCAATTCTTTGATCCCTTCACATAAAGTCAGTCTTAAAAGACATTAGGAAACCTGAACTGTGTAATATTTTGAATATGTCACAGTGCATGTGCTAGTACCCTGCCAATATTCATAAATAATGGATTATTCCATTCTGTTCATATGGAAAGAGGGGAAAAGACACTACTTGGTTTCAGTGAGAAAATGAAGGAATGAAAGAAAGAAGGGAAGATAAGTGTTTAACATCTGTTTTAGTGAAGTGGAAAAAGTTGTCAGTTTCAAATCTTTTCATTTGTACCCACTTCTCAAAATAACAACCAGCATTCATATATAGATTGTTATTAAAATATTTTGTTAAAGTTCACTATTTACATTATTTGGACTATTGTCCTCATCTTTGTCGTCATAATTATTACAACGTTTCAGCCATTGTACTTGGTGGTTGGAATGTCGAACTGAACCCTTTATTTCGCTCACTGGGGTAGACAGTTCTAGTTCCACGTACCATGTTTAATGGATGCCAGTTATCAGTTATCTCCTGTTAATTCCCCTTTAAAAGTTCTCCACTGCCTTAACCGGGTATTGAACTCACACTTTTTGGGTCCTGTCACTGGATCTAACCAATGCCTTTATCCACTGTGCCATGTGTCCTTGTTAAAGTTGTTAAGCTTAAATATTTAATGATACAATAGGGGAATTTCTACAGGTATCTTATTGTTGCAGGATTTGCCATGAGTTTATTCAATCATTAACTTAAGAATTAAGAATTATCAGACATATTAAAATAGGCACAAATTATTATCATCACCATTGCTGTTGTTGCTTTATTATTATATGCCTCCTCACTTTGGTTGTTATACTCACAATGTCTTCAGACATTGTAACCTTGTACAAGTATCTGTGATCAAACTCCCAAACTGTCTTGGTCATTTTGGACCAAACTCTAACTGATCCATGAGAATATATTGCTCACAGTTTGCTTTCCATGCTTAGGGGCAGAGGAGGTTTTTTGGTATTACTTAAATAGATTGGTCCCTTGCTTTGAAAAAAAAAAATAAATAAATAAATATGGAATATTGTTGGTGAGAAGAATTTTTGTAGATTAGCATTCATTTGATCTTCCTCAAGCCAAGACATTTGTCAGAATCGAAAAATAAAGTACAAAGTTTATTTCAACTGGTGCTCATTTATTGACACGAGGACTGAAGAATTCTGTGTAAAAAATCTAAATATAGTAAGAGAATATAATGTAAGAACATATCAGAATTTCTCTTTGACTTTCTACGTAGAACTTGTGTGTATTTGTGTCGATAAACAATATATGTATTATTAGTCAAACCATACCATCTACTACCGACCTGTTTCAAAAGTTTTATTAAACTAAAACTACTTTGTAAAATATTTCAGGATTGAAAAATATTGCACCCAAAATAATTAGATGTATTTAGGCAGAAATTTGGTTGGGGACCAATGAAAGTTCTTTGTTAAAAGATTTGTTTGGTTTTGTTTGTTTTTTATATATTTCACATTCCCTGAATTCTCTTTTCTATACTTCATGTTCCCCAGATTCCGTTTTCTACATCCCATGTTTTCCGTATTCCCTTTTCTACATTCCACGTTTTCCGTATTCCCTTTTCTACATTCCACGTTTTCCGTATTCCCTTTTCTCCATCCCACGTTTTCCGTATTCCCTTTTCTCCATCCCACGTTTTCCGTATTCCCTTTTCTCCATCCCACGTTTTCCGTATTCCCTTTTCTCCATCCCACGTTTTCCGTATTCCCTTTTCTCCATCCCACGTTTTCCAGATTCTCTTTTCCCACGTTTCCGTATTCCCTTTTCTCCATCCCACGTTTTCCAGATTCCCTTTTCTCCATTCCACGTTTTCCAGATTCCCTTTTCTACATCCCACGTTTTCCAGATTCCCTTTTCTATACCTCACGTTCCCCGTATACCAATGTCTGAGTACTTTCAACATTCATAAGACATTATCAAAGAGATATTATTTTATTTTTTGTGACTATATCAGTTTTGGCAAATCTGGACCTTTGAACCTAAAAGAAAAAAAAAATGATCATCAAAAGGACAGTTTTTCTCTTGACCTATAATAATAACAACTACCTTTACACTTAGGAAGTGTTTTCAAAAATGATTATCAGAATTGTAATAAAACCTAGGCATATGAAAGTGAATTTATACATTCTAAAATGTGAATTTACAACATTCTTAAAACTAATACAATGCAATATTTAACATTTAAACAATTTATAAAGAAGTAACATTTAAACAATTTATAAAGAAGTAACATTTAAACAATTTATAAAGAAGTAACATTTAAACAATTTATAAAGAAGTAACATTTAAACAATTTATAAAGAAGTAACATTTAAACAATTTATAAAGAAGTAACATTTAAACAATTTATAAAGAAGTAACATTTAAACAATTTATAAAGAAGTAACATTTAAACAATTTATAAAGAAGTAACATTTAAACAATTTAAAAGAATTTTAAACAATTTATAAAGAAGTAACATTTAAACAATTTATAAAGAAGTAACATTTAAACAATTTATAAAAGAAGTAACATTTAAACAATTTATAAAACAATTTAAACAATTTATAAAGAAGTAACATTTAAACAATTTAAAAGAAGTAACATTTAAACAATTTATTTAACATTTAAACAATTTAAAAGAAGTAACATTTAAAACAATTTAAAAAGTAACATTTAAACAATTTATAAAGAAAACATTTAAATTTATAAAGAAGTAACATTTAAACAATTTATAAAGAAGTAACATTTTTTTATAAAGAAACATTTAAACAATTTATAAAGAAAACATTTAAAACAATTTAAAAGAAGTAACATTTAAACAATTTAAAGTTACATTTAAACAATTTAAAAAGAAGTAACATTTAAACAATTTATAAAGAAGTAACATTTAAACAATTTATAAAGAAGTAACATTTAAACAATTTATAAAGAAATAAATACCAAAACAACTTTTTATTCATAAATTTATAAACATTTACTAAATTATTAAAATATGTGAACCAACTATAAAGAGATCCTTATTGTTATTTACCAATTACCAATTAGCCAATATTTGCCAACCATTTTATATTTAATTATATTTATAATATTTTTCTTGTAAATTCTCAAGCACAAAAAAATATATAAATTCACTTTCATCATATGTTTCATTGCTTTTTAGAATGATAAACTTCGCCAATGTGTGAAGGTAGTTAAAATGATAGTGGTGTCAAGGGAAAAACTGTCTTTTTGATACTTTTTTTTTTTCTGGCGTGAAGTTCCATGTTTACCTAAATCTTATTTTTAATTTTTTCAAATAGTCATGTCATCCCTTTTTTTTTTTTTTTTCTTCTTTTATAATAATTCCACTCCAGACAAGGTAATAAAGTCACTAACATGCAATGGCTTATTGAATGTTAGAGAATATTAAAAAAAAAAATATATTTTAATTTACTAGTGTAATTCTTACACATTTTGTTATTCATAGTGGCATTATTTGTTTTATAAATAATGCAAGATTGTTTGTCTGTGAGTACATTTGTCTTCTAGGGTATATGGTCTAAAGATCACTTGAGGCATGAAACTGACAGTTCCTATGCACTGCCAATTCTTGCATCTACTCTATCTATAAATACTTTCTCTCCACCATAAATATACCAGATTTTAAGTATGTGTATGTGTGCATGAATAAGTGTGTTTTTGTGTGTGTGTGTTATTGTGATTATTCTTCTAATAATCTTAAAAAAATTGTTAGCATTATATAATTACTAGGCTTTTTTTTATTTTTTGTTCTTAAAGCACTCTATTTACATTTGGCCAATTAACACGTTGACTGCCAGAGGTCTATTATGAAATCTGACATCAAATGCCAACTTTATAATCATACTTATTATAAAACCCAGGTTGTGTGTGTGTGTGTGTCTTTTGGATCGAATTTCCTACATTTCAACAAAACTTCACAGGACTATGTAAAATTACCTTGCGGTGGTTCTGACAGCGACAAAAATTGGGAAAATACAATTGTTTTTGCATGAAATCAATTTGAAAACATGATTAAGAGGCATTGCGAGAACGAAAGGGGAACAACTCATATCGAGTTATACTTATTATAAAACCCAGGTTGTTTGTTTGTGTGTGTGTTCATTTATATATGGGATCAGATTTCCTACATTTTTCAACCGATTTCAACAAAACTTCACTTTTTTTTTTTTTTTTTTTTTTTTTTTTGTGGCAGGTAGTGTTTCTTATTGTCTTGCACACTTTTTTCTTTATTTTTACATTCAGAATGCTTTAAAAATTCCATTTACAAGACAATTGTTTATAATAAAATTCTATTCAATCGGTAGACTCATAACGATTGAAAACAATGTTTTTGTTTGAGTTTGGGTTTGACCAATTCGTAAAAAAAAAAAAAAAACTAATTAAGACATGCGTATCTGTCAACCGTAAACAATAATCTTTGTCAATTTTATTTTTCGGTCTTTATGATGGTCAATACTTGATCTATCTCTTACTGTTACATCCCCGGGCAACGTCAGGCTCTACTGCTAGTAGCCAATATAGGCGATAAAAATTTTTTATGAATTGATTTATAGTTTCAACTGTAGTCTTTACATTGTTTTCACACTAAAAGCATCACTGTGAATAAACTCATAATTGGTGCATGCAGATGAAAATGCATCTGAAAATGCCAAGCACAAGAACATGTTGTTGTAGATTCAAGTTATCTCATGATTTGCAGTGAATGTGTTAAGTTTTATACATGGCCATTTTCTTTTCATTATTATAGTTACTATAATAATAATAATACCACCAACAGCAACAATAACAATTATAATAACAATAATGACTTTTTTTTAAATTGTATTTTAAGTCTGTTTGACTTTATTTAACTTTGTCTCCTTTTCTTTTAATTTTATTTTTTATCCTTATTTTTTTTATAATTATTCTTACTTAGTTTTTTCCAAACTTCCAACAGAACTAAATTCTGCTTTTTAACTTAGCATAGTATATATATATATATATATATATATATATATATATAGCATTAAACAACACGGACGTCATACCTTAGGTACCTTTCAGCCAACACTTTTTCAGAGGTATTCGTTGGTGATTGGGAATACAAATGAAGACACACTCAATAAAGTAAATGAGGGGGGGGAAAGGTGGAACGCAATTAAGAGAAATTTTAATTACACAAAATTGAAATAAAATAAGGGGGGTGAAAATAACCAGTTCCACAAGAGTATAAAATGGACAAAAGACACTCACAAACCCTCCAACAAATGCAAGGAACGTAAAAAAAATGTTCGTTTTGTTGACACATGCTCGGCTGATGGTACTTTATAAAAACAGCTTCCCAAACTAGAAGGTGGGGTGTGTGTGTGTGTGTGTGTGATATATATATATATATATATATAGTGTAAGTGCATGCATGCACATGGGTAAGAATTGTAATGACTGATTTTCTTTTCTTGTTTTTTTCTTTTCTTTTTTGGAGTATGAATTTTACTTTTTAGGGTTCCATATTATGCAGATGAGAAATGACCCCCAAATGTGAAAACTATTGTATTTTTCTTTTTCTTTGTTTAATGAATTCCTTAGTGGCTCATCTTCTAACTTGTAGTGTGCTGGAGGTGGGTGATCTACCCAATAAAGTTTCATTATTATCACTCTTATTGGCGTCAGCAAGTCGAACATTTTAGTTATTGGCCAATGCCACTCTGTTACTGTTTCAGTACATAAGCTTCTTTTTTTTTATGTCTATTTAACTTTATTTAACATTGATGATTTCCTTTTATTCCCTCTTTTTAATTTTATTTTTTATATTTTTAATTAATGTTTCCATACTTCCAGCAGTAGTTTCCATAATTGAATTCCACTTTTTATCTAATCACAGTATATCTTTTTCGACATGTGTATATGTGTGTACATGTATGTGCATGGGTAAGGATCATATTGGCTGATTACCTACTCCCCTCCACCCTTTCTTTTCTTTTTTTTTTTGTGATACCCCCCCCCCCCACAATGTATGCCCACCTCTGACCTTTCATCTGATAGTGGTCATTGAGATATAGTTAAAACTTATTATGGTCAATACCATTTCCATATCTCTATGTTACTTCCTTGAATGCAGTACTAGATGATAAACTCTGAAACCTGCACATATAACCCCCCCCCATTTTATGGGTAGGAAGAGATTAACTTTGGTTGAAAGTCATCCTAGAGCTGATATCTTGAACAAAATTACTCCTTGACAGTCAAAGATAAAATGCAAAAAATATAAATCTCAATGTTTACAAACAGATACTCATACCAGATCAGTTGTTACTCGGGCAACAAGAGCTGCATCCCTCAGAAAGGAACCTGTCTATGTGCCAAAAAAAATCCGTCATTGGAACAAACTCTTCCAAGAATGATGAGACACCTGGTCACCAAACCCAGACTATTTTCAACCTTGGACCAAGTGACTCCATGCCAAATCATTTAATAAAAAGAAAGCGAACAAAATGGACACACAAAGAGTATCATCCTTTTTCACTGCACTCAAAAATCCACAAAAGAACATCACAGATCAGACATAGTTATATTCCATGCTAATAGGAATATATACTTTAAAAATAAGGTGTATAAAATAAGTAAAGGCTTATTGTAAAAAAAACAGTAAAATAAGAATAAAGTAACAGTTCTGCACAAGGTCATCACAAGTCAATCCAGTAGTGAGTGCTACTATTGGAAGGTTGGTAGTTCTTGTGTAAGTCTGAGTTGTACTCAACAGATCCAGCTAGTCTCTGTAGTCTGTTGACTTAGAGATACATAGGTAGTTACTACCTATAGTGTAGTCACTCATGGGGGTAACAGGTTATTCCATTACATCACATACCAAATATGGAGAACTATAGTAGGAACT